ACCAGGTGAGATAGCATAGATGAACTCTATCTCGTATTCCCGTGCAGCAGAGATGAGAGTCATAAGTTGCTCTAAAGAAAAGAGTCCATGTTTTTAGAAAGCAGCACAGAAAACTAAAAGAACCTTCACCTTTCAACTAAAGAGAAGAGGTCATTTTCTCCAGTTTGCAATAGCTCAAGAAAGGAAAAGTCCCTTAAGTTTTACAAACTGTCATGTCCAATGTGACAACAGGCCATATAAAATGCCACGAACCTGTGACTTAATGTCACCCTAAAATCAATAAGCATTCTCTTCCTTTCACTGCCATTTCTCAAAAATATTCAATTAAGCATCACTTCTCTTACTGAATATAAACCATTTTTATTTCCTACAGTATTTGAGATGGTTTCTGTTTTTGTAGTCTCTGAACAACTGACATTCTTAAATAAAAAAATCTACATATAACTACTTTATAATTGAAAAAAAGAAAAACATGTTCTTAACAACCAGGGTTAAGTGATGGCCTTAACAATCCTTATCCTTTAAGTTTTTAAAATGTGATAGACAATTTTCCTAAGTAAAATAAAATCCTATTCTATATATCACAGGATGTATCTTTACATAACTTTCAGTGGTATCTCAAGATAGTCATTTGACTATATTTTGATTACTGATCACATAAAATTTCATTACCAGCACCACCAAAAAATAATTAAGTTGAACACACACTTAAATTATATAGAGTAGTAAGCAACAACACTAGATGGAGATGGAATACGTTTTAATTGCTTCTTCATAATTTAAGAAAACTTTCTGCCTTCAGTGCCTTGGCTACACTCTGTAACCAAGTAACTTGTTAGCTACATGTGTATACCATTTAATTCCAAGTATAAAAATGTTTCCCCATTTACAAGTCCCCAAAGAAAAGTACCACTTATCTAATTTAGAAGGAGGTTCTGTGATGTACTATCTTATGTACAAATTTTAAGTACTTAACTCAACATAAGACGACACATAGCAAGGATAGTTTGTGATGGCTTTTCACTTTAGTATAAGCCTAGACTAGGGTGAGATCTTTATTTTAAATATAGTCAAGACAAGTAATCAAGTGGTCAAGACCAAGCCATACTTGAGTCTGAAGCAAAAGGATCAGTAATACGGATCCTGTCTTTACTTAAAATTTTGGTATCTTGTTCGTGGATTTTTTTTTTTTTGCATTAATTCTGGTTTAAAAATTGCTTAAGATATTATTTATCTTGACCACTGATTTTTTTGGAGTCCCTTAAACTTTGCACCCAAAGCAAGCGCCTCACTTGCCTTGCCCTAGGCCTACTGCTTCAGCACCCTTTTGTCCAGTGGCCTACCGTTCAGACCACTGACAGAAGTTAAAAAGTACAATTTATGATTACAGAACAGGTTGGAGTCAGACTGGCATAACCATGAATCACACCATGGCTGTGCATCGTTAGTGCTACTCTTTCAATCTGCACTACAACTCACATAGAATTATCAGAAAGACGAAAAGGAAACTACCTACGAAGAGAAAATGAAATACTTAATAAAATTTTTGTATAACTACATCTGAAATATAGCTGTTTTCTTAACATATTCTGAATTTATGGATTAAAAAGAAAAAGATTACCAGCTTCCTCCACAGAATACATCTCTCGCCAAAACATCCTATGTTTGTAGTCATCTTTTGGGGCATACAAGTATGTATTTAATTCCCATTTCTGGAGCCTTAAGGGAAAGAAGATTACATATGTATAAATAGGCAACAAGTATAGGCTATAAATCACAATATTTCCCTTTTCTTGGAACATCTCCATCTCTTAAACAGCTAATAATATTCTGGGGCAGTAGCTTTTAACCTTTTTGTAATCCAGTAGAAATGTAAAAAAATTTTATTACAAGAAATGTCAACATATTAAAGTCTTAAATAAAATCAGCTCCAAGTGACACAGGTGAAGCCCAAAACCTATTCAGTGTCCCCAAGAAACTTTGAAAACCCCTGGCATAGGTGAAGAAGAGGTAAAAGACCAAGGTAAAATTAACTTCTGCAACTGAGAAATCATCAAAACGCACCTGGCCTACTCAGTGTTAGTTTTTCTTCAAACAAAAGGAAATGTTAATGGTTTAAGACTCTCCTTCAGAAAGTAAAAAATTTACCTTCTAAAGAGTTCTTTTCTCTGTTCCATAACCCAAGGTCTTCCATAAAATCCTAGATTCAAAGTAAGAATGAAATTATTTTCAAGTTTCAAAATGTGGTAAACTGTTGAGAAAAGCAGATTACAAAACATACAGTACAATCCCATTTTGTAAAAAAGCGTGTACAATATACCAGTATATGAAGGCTATTTAGTAAAACATTAAGGTGTCTTTGGATGGTGATGTTATAAAATGACTTTTACTCCCTTTTTGCTTAGGTAAATTTTCTGATTTTTCTACCATTAACACTTATTACTTACACAATAGCTATTTTTAAAACACCTATAACATCATCTCTTTTCACTGCCAAAAAAGACCAAATATGTTTAAATCTAATTTAAGTTTTTTTTTTTTCATCTCTACACCCAATGTGGGGCTCGAACTCACAACCCCAACAACATGAGTCGCATGCTCCTTCGACTGAGCCAGCCAGGCGCCCCTAAAACTAACTTTTCATTATTTTCTTTAAATAATCTCCACACCCAATGTGGGGCTTGAACTCATGACCCAAGAACTGGATGCTCTACTGACTGACCCGGTTAGGGTTAGGTGCCCCTCAACCTAACTTTTTAAAAGATCTCAATCTTGGGCGCCTGGGTGGCTCAGTTGGTTAAGCGACTGCCTTTGGCTCAGGTCATGATCCTGGAGTCCCGGGATCAAGTCCCACGTCGGGCTCCC